GGGGGGGGGGGGGGGGGGGGGGGGGGGGGGGGGGGGGGGGATGTTGGCCATGCGTGTTTGTACATGCGCATGTGCGTGCGGTTGCCTGTAACCCTGGGAGGATGCCGCGTCGCGGTGCCCAAGGCGGCGCCTGCCCCCTTCCGCCAGGACCAAGACCCCGGGGCTCTTGCGAGCGTGGCGCGTGCCGGGCCCGGGAGGTATAAGGGATGTCCCGCTGGTGGCCCCGGCGCGCGAGGCCACCCCAAGTATCCTCCCTGCGAAAAGCAATCTCCTCCGTTGAATTCCCCCCGTCGCCTCCTTCTGGCCATTGTTTGTCTTTTCTTTTCCCCTCACCATTTCCCCTCCCGTTCCTCAGGTGCGTTGGGCTTTGGTGGTCCCTTTCCCGGGTGTGGCCCGCGCGCTCCCGGCGGGGGGGGGGGGGGGGGACAAGCAGCAGCAGCGGGCGTGGGACTTCCCGCATGGTGGCCGAGCACTGACGCCTCCGGACCTTCCTCACCACGCCGCCGGGCCTTCCTCACCACGCCGCCGGGCCTTCCTCACCACGCCGCCGGGCGGCCACAGGACCATCCCCCCCCCATCTACGCACACACACGCACACAAGGAAGAGCCACGGACCGCGGCCCAAGCGACCAGCACCATGAGTGGACACCCTAACCAACAGAACGGCGGCCTGCAGCAAAACCGCCCGAGCACCTCCGGCGTGTCGGCCTCCCTGCGGCGGTCACCGCGCGCCGGCAAACGCGCCCCCCAGAGCCCGCGCGGGTCGGCCTCGTCGTCGGTCCTGCCGGCGCACCAGCAGGGCAACATCCCCAGCGGGACGGACTTCTCGCGCTTCCACCCGCAGCAGTTCCAGAAGAACTTCTCCACCAACCGGCCGCACCTGCAAATGGAGATGGCCAGCAGCACGGAAAGCCTGCCGGAGAATTGGGCGGCCTTCTCCATGCGCGACAGCAACCTGGCCGGGGGCGGCCAGTCGTCGGTCATCCAGCCGGGGCGCGGCGGCCGGGGGGCGGGGCACCGGGCCGGCCCCGGCGGGGCCATCCCCTCCTCGCCACTGGGCCAGCCCAGCAGCTCGCCATGCCACGGGGTGGCCCAGGATGCCGTGATGGACACGCGGCTGGGCTGCCAAGTCGGCGTGGCGCCGCATGGCTCGCGGGCCGAGGCCGAGGCCCGGCACGGCGGCCCCGGTGGCAGTGCCCACCAGCAGGGCGGCAGAGGTGGCGCCGGTGGCGGTGCGCCGCGTGGCGCGCGGTCCGGCGGCGGCCGGGCCGGGGCCACCAACGCCCGGGCCGCCTTCGGCCCCGGTGGCGAAGTGGACTCCGGCAACATGTATGTCTCGTCCGGGGCGGTGTCCCCCTGGCAGGACGGCCTGGAGGATTGGGAATTGGTGTCCGGCAACCGGGCCCCCTCGCAGCGGCGGCAGCGGCAGCAACAGCAGCAGCAGCAGCAGCAGCAGCCGGCGGCGGCGGCCCCGCAGCAGCGCCACCACGCCGCCGCCGCCACGGCCAGCACCGTGTCCGGGGCGCTGAGCGACGAGGGGGACGCCTCGTCGCCGGCCACCCCGGAGACCATGCGCCGCGGGGACAGCCACGACCGCTGGCAGCGCGAGGGCCATGGGTGGAATGCCTCGCGATCGGGGCCGCCATCGCGCCACCCGGGCCGCGTGGCGGACCCCAGCGACGACGAGGCCATCGAGCTGGCGGCCCAGCGGGCGGCGCAGGACCTGCGCACCGGGGACCCGGCCCGGCGCGAGCAAGTCCGCGCCCACCTGGCCCAGACCCTGCGCACGGAGCAGCCCGCGCCGCAGGCCCCGCTGTCCCCGCGCTCGGCGGCCCAGGCCACCGCCTCCTCGGAAGCACGGTGCGTGCCGATGGTGGGGAGGGAGGGGGGGGGGGCCTTGGGCTTTTCACCGGCCCGGGCCACCGCGCGCGCATGTGCCGTGGCGTGCCGCATCGCCCGCCGGGCGAGGCACCCCCGGCGGGCCCTGGCGGCCGCGCGACTTCCTTTTCTTCTTCCCGCCCACTCGCGCGCGTGCATTGACCGTGTGCACATGTGCCCGCCTGGCTTTTTGCACCTGACAACACGCGGCGGCGCCCGGGGGGCGGGGGGGCGGGACTATCACAGCCAAAAGAAAGAGCAAGCCCCGGAGGGCATGTCCTTCGCGCACGCCAAGTTCCGCGGCTCGATGGACAACCAGGCCGTGGCCGGTGGACAGATGAAGTAATGCGGTGCGGGCGTGTGCGTGGTGCGCCTGCCCGTCCGCCCGGCGGGTGGAGACCTGCAGTGCGCCCGGCCCGTGCCGGCGGGCGGAAACCTTCGGCACACCCGGCCAGTGTCTTTGCCTCGGCCCCGGCGGCGCCACCTGGGGGCACCTGCATGCACGGTAGCCAGCCAAGCGGCAGGCGGGGCCGGATGAGGGGCCCGGGCAGGGGGGCGCCCGACTCTCTCCCCCCACTCACGCCGCGGACTCCACCCGAAGGCTCCGGCGTGTGGGTGTAGTAGCAGCAGGGCCGCGCCGGTCCGTGAATAGGACGCAGGTGGGGGGGGGGGGGGGGGGGGGGGGGGGGGGGGGGGGGGGGGGGGGGGGGGGGGGGGGGGGGAGGGGTGCGTGTGGATCGGCGAGGGGGCAGAAGGCGGCCCCTGGCGCGGGAGACATATGCGCACGGCGCCTTCGCCCCCTGGGGGCCTGGCGAGAGCATCACACGCGGGCCGGGTGCGCGCCGCCTGGTCGTGTGTACACGTGCATACGGCGCGCGCGCCCGGTCCCCGGCGTTGCCATTTTCGCCCATCAGGCAGCAGCGCTCCCCCGGTGGCCAGTGCCGCCTTTAACAGCAACGTCCCCAGGGTGTGATGGGCCGGTGCGCGTGTCCCCTCCAAGGGAGTGTGGGCCAGCTCTCCTGGGCGTGCCCGGACCCCCCCATCCCTCTTCCCTCTCGTAAAAGGAAGGCCGCCCACCTGCCCTTCCCCCCCTGGTCGGAGGAGCAGCGGCGCCGGAGGGCGGAGCGGCGTCTTGGCCTCCGTGTGTGTGTGTGTGTATGTGTGTGTCGCGGCCGGGGGGGGGGGGAAAGCTCGGCGACCTGCCCCTCTCCCTGTGCAATTCCATTGGCACGGTGCTGGGCGCGGCGCGCGCATGCATTTGCCTGCATATGGGCAAGAGGAATAAACACTCCTTTTGGAATCCGTGGAAAGGAGGCTGGATCTCATTCTCGAGAGGTGAGCGAGGTGAGCGAGTTCTGAGAGTGTGAGAGTGTGGGAATGTGAGAGTGTACGAGAGAGAGAGAGAGAGAGAGAGAGAGGGAGGGAGTGTCAGAGTGTGCGAGAGAGAGAGAGGGAGAAAGAGGAGGGGGAATGTAAAACGATGAATTGCACAGGAGGGGAACGGATTGTGGGCAACGCCCTCCTTATTTGGTGGAATACACACCCCACATGTAGCTGGGTGTGGGGCGGTGGATGGGATTAAGCCGGAACGTCATTCCCTGAGGTACATGGTTTCCAGCTAACACGGCGGAAAGTCACGAGTCCGGCCTCGGCCAGTTCGGGCGGGCAACGCCGACGGAGGCCAGTTAACCCGGGGCAAGATAAACCATTGTGGGGTCTGTTGCTGGAATTTGGACATGTATCGCCTCCTCGTGCTCTCGGGGTGGGGGGGGGG